GTACACGGTATAAACTGTGTCTACCAATAATCCCCAATTTCTCTGCCCATGTAATAAATTTGGAAATGATTTAGGCTCCTTTTGCTGACATGCTTTGTATGCAGTTGTAATTTTTTTATATAATTATCGTCTGCCTTATGTGTTTTCTACTCAGCAATAAACCTAAACTTTGTCTCCCCAAATGGAGACAATTTAAAGGGAGCAGCAATTAAAATTTACTTATTTAAGATTTACTGACAGCATTACAAAACAACTTTGTGCCTTTAAACAAAGAAAGTAAATGTCCCTTGTCAAATTCTTGTTCATAGATATTTGCAAAATGTAGTTTTTGCTGAATGTAGATTATTTTAATGTGAGTCTTTCTTGCAATCAATTCAAGCATCAGCAACAGAAGCCCACATAAATCTGGGAGATGCTCAGCTGAGAAAAGTTTTTTTTCATAGGCTGGGAAAGAGATCTGCCGTTGAAGTCTTGATAACACTGTGAGTTTGATATGAGTGAGCGAGCTTTTTACATACAAATATCTATTCCCAGGTTGCTTTATATACTGAGTTAACAATCCTCGCCCACACGTGTATAAAACTAGCAAACTGGTTGTATTTTTTTTATTTATTAATTTTTTTTGGAAAGGTTGTGTTTTTGTTGTGTACACAAAAAACATGAGGGTGGGACTTTATGACTTTATTGGTCAGGAGCTCATTTTTCAAATTACCAATTTGGGATTTCTAAAATCCTTGTGTATGCAGGGTTGAAACAATAAGTTTTTTAAGTAGGGGTGTAAGAAAATATCGATACACTGAAATATCGCGATATTTCATTTTCCGATACTGTATCGATATTCTAAAGTCCTGTATCGATATTTAATTGAGTTTTAAATGTCAACTTACCTGCCAGCCATTCATTTTTATGTTGTAGTTCAACCTCTGACCACTAGTTGGCAGCAGTGAGCCAGACATTTGGCTCCTCTACCTCTTGAGCGCCAGAGAGTAAGGGTAGCATTAGCATTGTGAGTAAACATTAGCTTCATGCTCCGATAGCTGAATCTGAGHRGRAAAGACCGACACCCTCTGCCTTCTAAGCTGAGGTAAGGTTACGAACAGTTACTTATTTGTCAGAATGTTTCTATTGTAAACCAAATTAAGTGTCTCATGCGCTCTTTTTTCCATCTTTAGTCAGCCTTCACGTTACAGAAGGCTAGCGCATGTCTATGTAATAGAATTTTCTGAGACAATGAATTTTGGTTTTTCATTTTTTTTCCAGTAAGAGGTTTTTATTTAATAGAATGTTTGGACAAAAAAAATCGCAATATATCGCAATATATCATCTTGCTTACAGTATTGCAATATATCGTATCGTGACCCGTCTGTCATGATGTGTATCGTATCGCCAAATTCTTGCCAATACACAGCCCTATTTTTAAGTGGGGTTATTAAAAAAATGCTCTTTTTTGAGCATTTTGTCGTGTTATAATGTCGTTCCCTCATGAAAAACAGTGTTGCTTTGACTCATTCATGCGTGTTTGAGAAATTATTGAATCTCATGTGGTAGCCATGTGGAGCTGTAAATTTGTAATTTGTATTAGAATGTTCCCTTCTTTTACTGCATTTGTCAAAACCTGATACAATCCTAAAAGGTTGTTAAGCTGCCATCAGGAAAAGTGTTGGATTTTTTTGAAGAGGAAATTATGAGGAAGGGGCCCTTTAGTCAAAAAGGTGCTATTTACACAACGTGGATTTGGTGTGAAACTATAGCTTTTCTGTGGACGGTTCGGCCATGGTGTGCATGATGCCAGCCTTCGTTCTATATGAAACCAAAGATTTCTGAATCCTAGTGTTCGAATAGAGGATATGAGAAATAGCCCATTGGTGTTAAGTCACACTTTGAAACACAAGCAGCTGCAGCCACAGGTTTCTTCTGCACTAAAACAGATAGGATAAATAGGTGGTTCTCAAATGGCATAGCGACCTGCAAATCACGTGGTCAAATCGCCATATTCGTGGGCCCGAATGCGAAAGAGGGTATAGTCTACTACAGCACCGAAATGTAAACATCTGGTCTACAGTCTAGATTGTTTTTATTATAATTTGTTTTAGCAGTCATGGAGCATGTTTGGGTTGGAGTTGGCTACAAAGCTGTGCTGCTCATGTTGCAGTGAAATGCTCTTAAAAAAATCTGACAGCGTAAAAACACCCAGCGAAGTAGCAGAACTGTCGGAAAAGCGATGTGATTTTGTGACTGGCGATAATCAACCACAAAGATTTCACCCTCCTCAGGATTCCAGAGTGTGTTGAGATCACTCCTACCATGGTTAGTGACCACATAGTACGTTAATTAACTTAAAAAAAGAAGGTTGCGCACTATGAACAGTTACGTGTTTTGAACATCCTTGTAAATGCACCTCCGGCTAAAGAGCCCCCTGGTGACTGAAGAAAAAAATCCACGTATAAGCCGCATGGTTCAAAGTTCAGGAAAAAAGTCGCGGCTTATAGTCCGAAAAATACGGTATATATATATA